GCATTATGGGTATTCATTCCATTTGCACTCAACCGAGAAGGAGTCTGTGTGTTTATCTATAAACACTTTATTTTCTAAAATATTGTATTAAACAGCACCAAATTGTCTTATAGCTACAAGCTGTAATTCTTCTCATCATTTTCAGCATCTCTTTACAATGTCAAAGGATGAGCTGATAAATTTCAAGGTCTAATATATGACATGGAAATGGGAAAGAATGACGTGTTTAGTGAAAGGTTCTATGACACCGTGATTGTTGAAATAGACATGATAATTCCTGCAGAGCTTATGAATGGCACTGTGGTCCCAGAGAGAGGAGGCAATACGGACTTATGAAGGAATTGTGGAGAACAAACTTGGCTGACATTATTTTCCAAATTTCAGAGGTCTCTAGAATTCTAATCTTTATGGCTGGACCTTTCCATTGCTCGTTATTCAGACAGGTTCAGTTACAGAAGGTGATCTTGTCAAAATAGTTTGAAAAACTGCACTAGAAACTCCTTTAATATTTCTTGAGCAGAACAGACAATTTTGGGTACATTTTTAAGAGACATCGAAATTTGTCACTCAAAAAGAATTGTGCCAATTTTGCAACTAAATTCTTCTCTGAAATGCACATGAAGTCAGCAACTGACAATGCAGGTTAAGTTTATAGTCTGTCAGAGCTAATGGTGCTAAAAGTTTCAATACCTCTCTAATAGCATGTAACTCAGTCCAGAAGTCAAAGACAGGCAATGAAATAATCTCCTTCAAAAACTGAATACCCAAATGAACAAGCAAGATGTGGCTATCTGAACTGTGCTTAATAGGTGGGTACAATTCAAAAGACAAACTTGCAATGATAAAGATGCAAAAATCTTCCCATTACCTAAGAGTAAACTCTCTTATCTCTATGAAGTCCAAGTTTGACTAGGAAGATCTTCATGATTTGGCACCAATACCTGAACTGTGCTTAATAGGTGGGTACAATTCAAAAGACAAACTTGCAATGATAAAGATGCAAAAATTCTCTGAGTCAGTTATATTTCCATTGATTATATTTGCCTTAAATACACTATTAAAATGAAAATGTCTTGTGGGCAGAAACCATACTTATTCTCTTAATGTGTTTTAATCAAGTCCATTATTTTGTAGTCTTTGCCTTGTCAGCATTAATAAATACTGACAGGCTGTGTGTAAGTTTATGTTGTATACTTAGAATGGTTGCTTTTTTTTTTACTAGTTCACCATCAACTAGACGAGAAATACAGGTGATATATGCTGATAAATTTTGAAAGCTTTGGCTTTATTATCTGTGTTGCAACATATGTAGAATCTATTTTGGAGTAGGAGATATGACCTTCAAGGTGGTTAATGGTTGATTGAACTAGGACTCCAGCATGTTTTCATTCTGTTTCCTTCTTAGAGTGCTTGCTCTCAGTTGTTAGGGGACACTCCTGCAAATTTAACTGTTGCCAATTTCTTACTTGCAATATTGAGAGTATTTTCTATTTTTAATATGGGCCAATCCCATATTCCCTTGAATCTACTTCATGGAATGTGTGCTGTGTACTTTATAGATGAAAGGAAAAGTGAGCTATCAATATAATACTCAGTTTTCCAAAGTGACTAGCAGGGTGAGGTCTATTGTGTTAAGAACAGAAAAGTATATTTTTAAAAAGATGATGGCATGAAAGCCTTATTTTTCTCTTAAAATCATAACTACTTACATAGCACAGAGTGTTAGAGTAGTTAACCACCTGCTTTCTTCTGTGAAACATGTTGGCTTATTTTTTCACTTTATTTTTCTAAAATTTCCATTATCTTCCATAAGATATTAGAATTTCATAAACCCAAAATATGTATTTATATTTTAGTGTTATCTAGATTTTAAAGCAAACTTTATTTTTCTAAAATTTCCATTATCTTCCATAAGATCTTAGAATTTCATAAACCCAAAATATGTATTCATTTTGGGCTATCTAGATTTTAAAGCAATATTTATAATTCAAAAATTATAATTTAAAATTCAGATAAAGATTATTAGAATATATTCACAAAACAGGACTAAAAATTGATAATAGAACAGTCATAATGATTTCTTAAATCCAGGAGCTAGGATGTGGATGGGCTCTCCAGGTGAGTTATTATTATGGAGAAACATCCAGAAAGGTTGAAGAAGTTTTAAAGACCCTGGCTGCCCTATCTGGTTTGGCTCAGTGGATAGAGCATCGGCCTGTGGACTCAGGGTCCCAGGTTTGATTCCCAGTCAGGGCACATGCCTGGGTGGCAGGGGATCTTTCTCTTAAAATCATAACTACTTACATAGCACAGAGTGGTAGAGTAGTTAACCACCTGCTTTCTTCTGTGAAACATGTTGGCTTATTTTTTCACTTTATTTTTCTAAAATTTCCATTATCTTCCATAAGATCTTAGAATTTCATAAACCCAAAATATGTATTCATTTTGGGCTATCTAGATTTTAAAGCAAAATTTATAATTCAAAAATTATAATTTAAAATTCAGATAAAGATTATTAGAATATATTCACAGAACAGGACTAAAAATTGATAATAGAACAGTCATAATGATTTCTTAAATCCAGGAGCTAGGAGGTGGATGGGCTCTCCAGGTGAGTTATTATTATTATGGAGAAACATCCAGAAATGTTGAAGAAGTTTTAAAGACTCTGGCTTCCCTATCTGGTTTGGCTCAGTGGATAGAGCATCGGCCTGTGGACTCAGGGTCCCAGGTTCGATTCCCAGTCAGGGCACATGCCGGGGATCCCCAGTAGGGGGTGTGTAGGAGGCAGCCAATCAATGATTCTCTTTCATCATTGATGTTTCCATCTCTCTCTCCCTCTCCCGTCCTCTCTGAAATCAATAAAAATATATATTTAAAAAGAAATAAAAAAGTGAAAAGATTCTGGCTTTCTTGCTTCCACGGTTTCTTTCTGGAATCTATTTTAAGTAATGAAAAGAAGTTCTAGGTCCTTACTATAGTTGAACTCCAATTCTAATGTTTGGGAGAGACAGAGAACAATGTCATATATATACTAAGGTATAAGGTTTCCTAAAAATTCATAGACTATGGAACCATATATTTCAATGGTTGAGATATATAATTATTTTAAAAAGTAGAAAGAGCAAAGTCTTTCCAGGGGCTTCAGAACAAATCAAGCACATCCTTGCTAATTTCAAAAACTACCAGTGCTGTGGCTCAGTGGTTGAGCGTTGACCTATGAACCAGGAAGTCACGGTTGGATTTCCAGTCAGGGCACATGCCTGCATTGTGGGCTCAATCCCCATTGAGGGGTATTCAGGAGGCAGTCAATGATTCTCTCACATCATTGATATTTCTATCTCTCTCTCCCTCTTCCTTCCTCTCTGAAATAAATAAAAATATATTTAAGACAAGATAAAAATATTTCAGAATATCCATATTAGAATTGCAACTTATGTGTGGGTAATTAGTATATATGCACACATTTTATTTTCTCAATACTAATAGTTTTCTCATTGGCTTAATTTGAAATATTAGGGTTTGACAAAGGAATTGTCCAGGCACATACTACCTCAGGATGCTAATTTTAAGGTACTTTTCTTGTTTGAAAAGATCTAGACATGTTTTTATAAACAAGGGAATTTGGCCTTTTAGTTGCAAAAATTGTTGAACATACATTAGTTTTTAAAAGTTATTTTTAAAACTTAGAAGTGGATAGACCAGAGTTCAAAAACATTGAGAAATTTTTAGCTTTAAATGGCAGTTTTTACTTTTAGTTTGAGATGGTTAAAGGTCAGAAAAGATTGCCACCTGGTTCAAAACTGGCCTGTTTTTTCCTCGGAATTCTGAGTTCATCGTTTTCTTAATGTTTAAACCAGGGGTTCTCAAACTTTTTAAACAGGGGGCCAGTTCACTGTCCCTCAGACCGTTGGAGGGCTGGACTATAGTTTAAAAAAAAAACTATGAACAAATTCCTATGCACACTGCACATATCTTATTTTGAAGTAAAAAAACAAAACGGGAACAAATACAATATTTGTATTTGCATGTGGCCCGCGGGCCGTAGATTGAGGACCCCTGGTTTAAACCTTCCTCTGTTAGTAATTTGGCACACTGAGTTTCCATTTAGTGAATCTGACCAATAATCATGCATATCTAAGAAGCATTTTAGGGCTCTTTAAAAATACAGTATTGGTAAAATAATACAAATAGAGCAAAATGGGAAAAAAACCAGAGTCTGGTTCATTTTAACCAAGAACTCTGTTACATAGTTGCACTTAATTACACTGCACAAAATGAGTTAATGCCCCATTGTAGTTGAAATAGTTCCATGGGGTTGCTGATAAATTTTAGGTAAAAATTTTATTCAAAATTATTCACATCTAGTGAATGGCTTATATATTAAAATCATTGATTCACAATTATAAAAACTGTCAATCCTCACTTTATAGAAATAACTTATTTTTATAATTTAGGATTAAAATCTTCCCTCAGATTTGGAGCTAGGAGTTTGAAATCATATAACTTTGATGGGAAAACTTTTATTATTAAAAATCTCTCATAAATCCAATTTTGTGTTCATTAAATTCATTTTTATCAAAATGTAAATACTATAATACCATTGAATTTTAAAGTCTCATTCTAAGTTAAAATGTAAAAATCTTACTGAACTGTGTTCAATTATATCAAAACATTAAACATAATTACATACAGACAATTAAGCAGCTATTAAAAATCTAACAAAACAAGGGTACTGGCTTGAATTTTTCAGTGTTTGTCAATAATTAAAAACACATAGATACATAGCTAAAACACTTATTTAAACACAACAACGCTGTTTTCAGTATTTTCACTTTCATTCATAGACATATAAAGTTAAGAAAAGTAGATATTTATAGAATGTGATCTCTTAAGCCATTTGTTTTGAATTTCCAAAGAGCAAAATTTAATATTCTAAACAAGTAAAGCTATTATCTAAATAATAAAATTTCTTTATTTTAATCTTCTAATTTGAATTTTTTGTTATTACATAAGTTGGTCTGATAGTATTTGTATGTACAATTTTCTATTACTATCAAACAAGTTTTCCATTGAATTAACTTATTATTTTTCTATCTGTAACTACAGTATAAGAAAATATTTTAAAGCCTCAAGCTACTAATTTATCTTCAACATTTCCCTTTTCTCTTTGTATAAAGTTCACTGTGAAAATTTTACTTTGTAAGATTATTATGAAATTAAAAATCAAGAAATCCAAAGTAGTTTTCACATGTGCTATTATGTGACATTATATAACATACAAACACATTGGCAGTGATACTTCCACTTACGTGATTTACTATGAAAGAGCAGATAAATCAATATGAAATAGAATGTCTATAATACATAAATATATATTTAGTATCCATTAAAAGAATCTTAACTTGCCTCAATGACTTTGCATAGCAAATCATAATAATCCCTTCCTCTATGCATTTTAATACAATGGTCATCATTTGTACAACACACACACACACACACACACACACACACACACACACACACACCCTTATGGCGAAGACACTTTCTTTCGAATTGACTGTTTGCACTTGCATGACCCCGGAGACTTAATCTCATTGCTGATGTATATCCTCATGCCTAAGGATTTTATAGATAACCCAGTAGAAAATATTAAAAATCAAAAAGGCTAATGGGAAGCAGGCTCGGGAGATGGTGTCAATCTTCTTGGCCCGGTCGATGAAGATCTTCCTCATTTCATCAGGGCTTTCTGGCATTACCTGGACAGGACGGTTTGGGCCCTTGGGGGTCACACTCTCTTTTGCTTGCAGACACGGTCCCATGCCATAGGCAGTGAAGCTGAATCGACTTTCCCTTACCTCATCATCCTGCCATCAGAAAAACATAGGAAAACACTTTAGTCATGAAACAGAGCATAATTAACAGCAATTCGGAATCACAACTTAAGCTTCATCATGATAAATGCTAACATTATTACAATGAAAAGACAAGCCTATAAGAATGAGTTGCTTTATTCCCCACTCAAGTTTTATTGATTGACTGTGCATCACAGAGATGTGTCCATTAAGAAATATAAAACTCTCAAATTATGTTTGAATGGATAAGTAACAATTCTGGTATTGTGTATATATTGCTAGAATATCTAAATAAATTGAGCAAGAAAAAATCTATTGGATATTATGTCATATATATTCACAGACTAAATATTTTTTACATTATGTGTCTAAATGGGTAAATATGATGTCAGATACGTACCAGGATCATTGACTGAATTTTTATTTTTCATGGAGGCAAATATTTTAATGTTTATTTCCTACACTTTTATGTTAGTTTGTTTCAAAATACAGTTTAGCTCAATAACTCTGGTTGATTTTTGTTATCCTCAATGCTACTTGTATGTTTTATACTAACCCATTTGGGAGACTATAAGATAGTCCCATTTTCTGGCTTACATACAATTGCTTTTCAAGTGCATTGATTTAGTTGAAATTATGAATGAAATTTGGCAAAAGTTTATTTCATGTTAAGAAAAATTGTGAATTATTATGTTCTAAAAATTATTGTTACTTTTCTCTTAAATGTTATAAATTGAAGAGAATTCCCTATACAGATACATGGAAGAAAAATATAAATTTAAGGAAAAAATTATTAATAAAACTGTAATAAATCAATAGTGTTCACAATAGGAAGATATGGCACTACTGATTTATAATAAAGTTCATTAATGAGTAATTTAATTTGACAAATTTATTTAGATTGTAACAGTAGATGGCTGCCAATTAATTGAATTTCTTGCACTAAAATTGAAAGTTTAAAAGATGACATTTTACAAATTTATTATAGCTTGCCTCTTATAGAAGTAATTTTTATGGTAATACAAGAGATAAAAGTAACTAAGTACTCAAACTCTTGAAAAATATTTTGAGTTTTGAAAGTAGAAGGCCAATGAATAGTATATTACAAAATATAAAAGTAACAAATAAAAATTAAAATGGATTCTAAAAATGAGAAGATGGTCAAAGTTGATGTAATAATTATAAAATAGGTTTCTGGTGAATTATGAAGGCAATTCCATCTGAAAGCAAAAACATATAATTATTGGAAAATATCTCAACTGAAGATATATAAGTAATTGAATTTTGAGGAAACCAGTATGACATAAAAGCTGATGATCCAAATCCCATGTAATTACTGCTGTAATCCTGCAAAAAATGGAACTTGATTTTTAGTAGTCTTCATAAGAATGTTCATTTGTGCTGGCAATTTTTTTGTTTCCATGGAGATTTTAAGGCTATATTATTGTTTGCTTTGAATTTTTGATTACAAAAATGCTAAGATTTTAGGATTCTAGCGTCTGTGCTTAGTAAAGTAGTATCTATTGACTACCCTTTTTTCTAGTTTTATTGAGAAACTAGAGGCCTGGTGCATGAAAATTCATGCACTGGAGGGGGGTCTCTCAGCCAGGCCTGCCCCCTCTCACAGTCTGGGCGCCCTCAGGGGCAGGAGGCAACCTGGCGATCAGGGGAAGGCGATGCCCCATCACACCTCTCCTGCTGCCACTGCCGGCAGCGCAAGCCTCAGCCAGCCCTGGTTATCTGAGCCTCGGGTGGCCCTGGGTGGCTGGGTGGCCAACATCCGAGGCTTACCTGTGCCTCGGACTGGTCCTAGGTGGCTGAGCAGCCAAAATCCGAGGCTTGGCAAAAGTTTATTTCATGTTAAGAAAAATTGTGTTACTATGTTCTAAAAATTCTATTTATTATGTTCTAAAAATTATTGTTACTTTTCTCTTAAATGTTATAAATTGAGAAATCACAGCAATTCGGAATCACAACAATCACAATTCGGCTGCACCGTGCGCCTGCCGTCCCCCCACCCCTCCCGGCTGGGCTGAAAGGACTGTGGGACTCCAGTGGGGCTTAGGGGACTGGGCGCTGCCATCTTGTGGCTATGTGCACCGCCATCTTTGTGACAACATGATGGTCAATTTGCATATTCCCTCTTTATTAGATAGGATAATTGATGTATATCACTGTATAAGTTTAAGGTGTACAACCTGATGGTTTGACTTACATATATTGTGAAATGACTACAATAGGTTTACTTAACAGACATTATCCCTTATAGAGAAAATAAGAAAAAAAAATTCTGCTTGTGAGGAAAATTCTTAAGATCTACTCTCTTAACTACTTTCTTATATATCATACACCAGTGTTAGCTATGGTCATCATGTTGTGTGTTACATGCCTAATGTTTTTTTTATCTTATAACTGGAAGTTTGTACATTTTAACCACCTGCTTCAATTACTACCTTTTTAACCATCTGTTCTAACCATATTTTCAAACCTTTGGAGACCCCCATACCTCACAACAGAAATAGTCATTTAAGATTGACCATATTTAGTGAACAACTGTATTTTTCTCAACCATATCTTTTCACATAACTGGCTATGAGTAAAGGGTTAATGTCAGCCGGGGGCTGTCTCAGGACTGCTGAGAGGGACTTCTGGTTCTTCCAGCATCATTTCCTTGAGAACAATAGAGTTCAGCTAAATGGGGAATGTGGTTTGCTTCATCCGCAGTGAAGGAGGCATCTGCCCTCGGGAGGCCGTGCAGGGGCCTACGTGACCAGATGGTATATAAGCTTGGTGGGAAATAAAGGCTGTGGCTTCTCTGTGTCAAGGTGACCACAGCCACACGCCTTGACTGTTGCCTGTGGCAGTTGTATCTACATGTCGTGTGGGTGAGGGGCAAAAGAGCCGTGCTCTTGAGTACCTGCCAAGCCTCCCACTTTGAGGAAGATGCTGTGTCTGACGGGAGGCTTGCCCCACATGCCCCTGTAGGACTGAATAAAGGGCCTGCTTGACAATTCGACCCCCAAATTTCAGCAGTGGGGACAGAAGCTGACCTGGCTCTCAGATCATTGCAGGCTCCAAAGGTTGGGAGGGAATTCTGATGAGAATGTGATACTGATCCACCCTGGGTTTGAGGTAGCAGAAGCTCTGTGGAAGATAACTGAGGATGAGTCTTCCTATCAGAATATGAGTGACACAGTCTCATACCTTGTTGAGTTGGTAGATGGGTGACCAGTAAAATAAAACTGAAAGGAACGAGGGTGAAAGAACGGAAAGGAGAGTGGCTCGAGATACAATTAATTCCTTGTCTCCTATTAATTGATTATCTTTGAAACTGAAACTACTCAGGGGTGGGGGAAGAGAAACAAAAGCAAGGAAAGCTAGCAGCTTCATGGCCTGCACTCAAGATGAAACCAGAGGTGCTGGGACTTAAAGGGACATTGCACTTAACCTTGATGTCACGTCTCTGTAACCCCAGACAAGTGGCATTGGAAACTAGTAACTATCATGCAGCCCTGTCCGATATAATGTAAAGCACAAATAGAAGCCATGTGTGTAATTTTAAAATTTAAATTTATACTTGCTACAGTTTAATAAGTTAAAAGAAACAGGCACAATTACTTTTAGTAAGACATGTTCTTTAACTCAGTATGTCTTAAATATTCTTTAAATACTTACTAAGTAAAAATTAGAGAGATATTTTACATTCTTTATGTCTTACTGAGTCCTTGATGTCAGTGGATATTTTAATGTGCCTCAACTCAGACTCCATATTTCTAGCGCTCAATAGTGCCACATGTGGCTGGGAGCTACCATATTGAAGAAAGCAATCTCTCTATATAATAGCCTAAGTGACCATTACGACCAAATGACCAGAATGACCGGAACGACCAGTTGACCAGTCACTATGATCACCAGAGAGCAGATGCTCAATGCATGAGCTACCCCCTGGTGTCAGTGTGCTCCCACAGGGGGACTGCCGCTCAGCCAGAAGCTGGGCTCACGGCTGGTGAGCGCAGCCACGGCAGCGGGAGCCTCTCCCTACTCTGCAGCAGCACTACTGAGTGGTGGCGGCAGGCACAGTGGGCAGGGATGAGCGTGAGCAGTGTGGCACCAGGCCACAGCTCAGGCTCCTTCCTGGCCGCCTGCTGCTTGGCGCAGTGCTACATCCCTCGAGGGATGTCCGACTGCTGGTTTAGGCCCGGGGTTTGGGCCTAAACCTGCATTCGGACACCCCCTGAGGGGTCCTGGGTTGCGAAAGGGCACAGGCCAGGCTGAGGGAACCCCCCTGCCGTGCATGAATCTATGCACCGGGCCTCTAGTTCCAATATAAAGGAGCTGGGTTTCAATGTTTTTCAGGATCATGAGGTTGATTGACCTGGAGGCTGATAATTTTTTTTGCATGCGGCAGCATGAAAAGTAATGTTTGGTGTGAATGCTAGTTCTAATTTGCTGCAGTGTTGCCATTCAGGAATTATTGGCAGGTGTATAATCAAAGACCCTTTTTTGAGTGAGTGGAGACTTGAGTGGTGGGAATCTATACTGCGGAAGGCTGCTGCCTGGTTCTCTCACTGCTGTGAAATAGAATAGCCCTTTAGGGGAGTAGCAATTCGATAATTTTAAAAACGAGCCTACCCAAACCTTATCCTTTGGCCTCCTCTCTGGTAGACACTGATTAGGAGAATCCCTCGGGCATCAGTTCCCCAGGTGGCTCTCTTTTTGGGAAGGCAGCAGGGCATATATAATTCATGGGTACATTTGCTTTTGCAGCTGCCACGCTAGGTTTTACTGATGGAAGAAAAAAAATACCTGGGCAATTCAGAAGAAAGGTCATGGCCAGAGGTGAATCTATTAGCTCTCTTTGGGTGGCTTTTAAGACACAGAAGAAAATTGACAGAATTCCTAAGACAGATTTCCTAGCACATTATTGCCCGCTGGGAGGAAGGAAATCTGTTCCAGTTCCGGCAGCTGCTTCCTTTGAGGACCCCTGTTAAATCTGCTGCTTTCATCTCAGA